TCTCCCCTTGTTGCTGCCGATCTCTAGATGGAAAGCATCTGGTTGGCCGCAAGGGCGCATTAGCATGTTAAAATGCTCCGTAGACGCTGGAGGTTGGGCTGTTGGATAAGGAGGTGAGAAGGCTAGCGTGATAGGCATAAGTGAAGATCAGAGCCGCTTAAAGTGTTGATGCTGGAGCACGAGCGATGACATTCTGGAAAAAAGACTCGGTACGTATTCCGCGAGCCGTGGCTGTGGCCCGTTGGGAGGCTCCCAAGGCTCCGTTGGTTTTGTGGGCGTCTGATGTCTGAACGGTGACGGCGTGCAGGAACAGGTGCAGAGTGCAGCAGCAGGCACGCACCGCAGCGAGTGACAAGCACAAGACCAAAAAGTGTGTGTGGTTGTTGGAGTCTGCCGTTGACATTGGCCACTTTGGTGGAGGCGCTGGCTAGCACTGGATCAGATCGTCTGCTCCGGATGATGACGACGCGTAACTCGGCCCAGTTTTTGCGCTGCGAAAAATAGCAACGCTTCTGGCGCACCCGTGAGGCGTGCATGCGTTTTTTTTTGGGGGGGTTCCCGAGGGTTTCATTCGGAGTAATAGACGGGTGGCAGACAGGCGAGATGGTGGCACTGAGCAAGGCAGTGTTTGTAGATTTTGTGGTTTTGTGGACAGCACGGCGGGTACGAGGTTCCTTGTAGGAAGGTCGATTGCGCAGAGTAAAAGCTTGTTAATGTGTCCAGCGGCTCAGCTCCGGTCAGCTCGTAGATGACGATGGCAATGCAAGCTGGGTGCGAGAGTCATGGCCGACGGCGGCTCCAGGGCACCGAGTTCGAGGTAAGGTGCCAGGAGCAAGGCCTTCGGGCGGCAAGCATCCGGGAGGCGTGCGTGCTGAAGCTGGACGGCAACGGCATCGGACGGCGGAGCTGGCAGCAGCAGAACAGGATCTGGAGACCTTGAACTGGAGCTTTTTGACAGGACAAGACGACAGGACAGGCACGCCGTCGACAGGGAGGCGACCGGCAGACGGCGACTCGGACCCACGAGGCAGTGGTTGACAAACCCCACGGTGACGAGGGTGTTGGGCCACTGAGGGTAACGGAGGCACAAACGGAGGTCTGGGATTAGGACGCATCGACGGTGATCAGCACAACGTCGATTGAGTGCCGAGTAGAGTTATCTGGCAGTGTGATCCGTCTGGGCCTCGCGATGGAGCACTGGAGCAGCACCCAGAATTCGGGAGCCCTGCGATGCCCTACCATGCGTGGTGGTCGCCATGAGGCCGCTAACAGTATTGGCAGACGTGGGCCGCGGCCGAGTGTGCCGTGTTGTGTGAGTGAGTGAGCGATTTCGACGTGTAAATCTCGAGTTTATGTTTGTATTGCCGTAGTAGAATATGCGATGATGGCGCCAAAGTCCAATGAAAAGTCGTCTTTTGTGTGTTTCTTCCCGGCGAGATTGGGGACGGGTGTCGAGCTACCCGTCGCCGCGAAATTGACGAGATTGGAGCGGCCCACGGGAGAGAGATAGCCAAGGGTTCTGGAAGGGGATGGCCTACCAGCAGCGGCAGCAGCAGATTGATGAAATTGGACGGGTTGGGATTGCTGGCATTGGCGATGATGGGCGTGGTGGTCTTCTGGGTGGTGGACGCGGGTGGTGGTTTGCAATGGAAAAATTAAGATTGGGGTCGCTCGGCACATGGAAAGGAGAGATTGCGGTGATTGCAGGTTCGAGCACGGGTACGGGAGCGGTACTTGGCGGGAAGCGGTGATTTGGCAGGGGCGAGGAGGTACTGGAGGGGTACAAGGGGCAAGCTGGGAAAGGAAGCGGCTATCGAGACGCCCTCCTCCTGCCATCTGGGAATGGGAAGGAAGGAAGCAGAGCCAGAGCCAGAGCCGCTCTCCCCCTGAGAAAACGGTGACGGGTGGCCAATCACGTTTGTTGGACCGAATTTGTTAGGCACCGGGAAGGACGTCCTGGGGAGTCGCACCTTCCAATCGTGAGCGGTTCCCTCGAGCACGTTTGTAGAGCCACGCGACGGCGATTGGATGGCGATTGGATCTGGTGGTCTGTGGGCCAATGATACGGCACAGATCAAGCTGAAGCGGGGCTCCTTCCTTTTGGTCCGCTGGCCGTCATTTGCAAACTGATAAGCAACGGAGGTCTCGCAATGGGACTGTGAACTGCAACTTGCAAGAAGCTGCCCTGCACTTAAGAACGCAGGGCAGCTTTCGCGCGACGAGATGCAACTGAAAAGTGCTTCTTTTGCTGTTCCTTACATAAGAACGCCATCTCCCGGAGCCCACTTCAATCTGCGTTAATCACGGCCAGCAACCTCTGCAATCTGGGATCAGACAGATTTACGTTAGATACAGACTAGCGAGAGACGCGACGGCCTCGGCGCGTGTTCCCAGCACTGGGCGCTAGGTGACTGGGACTAGCAGCGAGCACGCCTTCGAGAATTCAGCAAAGGAGCCGCTGCCGGCGCCGGCGCGACGGAAGACGGGACTGTCAATTGGATCTTGGCCACGCGCTGGTGGCGGCGCCTCTGGCTGCGGTGGTTGCGTGGCTTCGTGGCTGCAGCATCGTCGGAGTGCGTTCCTGGCCCCGTCGGGACAATGCAATATCTTGGATCTTGCGAAATGCCATCATCAGCGTCCAGCTCCAAGCTGATTGCGTGCCGGACAGCCATGCCCAGCAACAGCAGGTCGGCCAGAAGCTGCAAGACGACCCAGGGTTCCGTCACCGTGCCGTAACGACGGCTGGGGAAACTGTGGGCTACCGTAACCAAGCACTGAGTGTGGACAGCGACAGTGACAGTCCTGACTGTGAGTGCTGAGGTGAGGTGCGGTAGCGTCCCAGAAAAAAACCCAGGGCAGTCGCGCCGTCCCCACCCAGGGCCCCCACCGGGAATAATTCCCCTGCCCCCATTGTGCCCCCGCCCCTGACCAGTCAGCAGCGGCCGTGCCGGCGGATTCCTGGTCGCGGGCTGGACCTCCCACCTCCCATCGCTACCCCTTTCGCCGTTCCCTGCCCACTTTTTGGAGGTGAACCCACTCACCCTTTTTTTCTCCTCCCTTTTTGCGTCCCTTCACCTGTACCGAGCGAGCCAACGATTGAAGACGGTCTCGGAGAGGCGAAATATTGGATGAGATGACGAGGACGTTCAGTCTGATGCGAGGGACATGTGGTCCAGTCCACGTCCAGCCAGAAGCAACGACTGCAGCACAGAACATCAGACAGCGGAGCGCGGATTGCTTCTGCGTGTTCCATGCTGCTACCGCTGCCGCGTCTGCAGCGCACCTCAACTGTCGATATGGGACGAGGAGGAGAGCCCTCTGTCGCAGGCTCGTCTCTCCATACGGCGTGCGCTACGAATACCATAGTACAGGCAGAAAGCAGTGTTTGAGAGTCTCAGTTGCTGTCCAGAGAGAATGGGCTGAGGCGACTCGTCACTCGTCAACCTCCAACTCGGTTGCAAATTCCCATGCACAGGCAACGCAACGCTACTGTACCTATTCTGGAGCTACACACATTCTACCAAGTACAGGCCACAGACGACGGATACGCAGCTGCAGGTCCCGTTTTACCCATTCCTTCCCACCCGTTTACCCTGCACCATGCGATGCGCAGCGCCGCCGCCGCCGCCGTCTTGCCTCCTTCTTTGGACCGTGGTGCAGCTCGCCGTAAGACAGAGCCGCTGCTTGTGTGTGGCGGCGGGAGGGCAGTGGCAGAGGCAGTGGCAGTTGCCGTCGTTATTGCCAAAACAAGTTGCTACGTTAGTGTTTTGTTTCTCTTGTATTTTGTTTTTTTTGTTAATTTTTCCTCTTCGCTGTTTTCTTTGAGGCTTCCGTGCTTCCCTCCAAGCCGTTGTCCCAGCTCCTGCCATTCTTTCTTGGAAGCAATGGAAATGGTGACAATGGAAATGGAAGAAAAAGATACGTACCCTGGTTACATCCCAGAAGTGGGAAGGAAGGCGCTCTTCTTCAACAGGGCCCCCTGCTGCCAATTTTATCCCAATCACCAAATCCCACCCGTCCCTGGCTCTTGCAGCTGCTGCTCGTCGCCAAGCCTTCTCTCCCACGTCCTTCTTTCTGTCTCTGTCTCTTCCTATTTCTCGGTGTACCTTTTGTTTTTTGTCACTGCTGTTGCTCCAGACAGACTCTCAGAGTGAGAGAGAGGCTCGCCCTTCCAGTTATCAATGTGTACCAGGCCAAACTTGGCTCCAACTCCCCGAGCCATCACCCCAGTCCCAGTCTTTCCCTCTTCCTTCCTGGATTCCCACTCCCGCTCCCACTCCCCCTGGTCCACGCCTCCATCTTCCTCGTCCACACACCCACAACTCCATGTCCCACACCCCCCTCCCCCCCTAAATCAGCGTGGTGAACATTGAGAACCACCCCCGGTCCCCGTCCGTCACTCTACGCCGCACATACGGAGTCTCCTCCCGGCACGCTCCAAGCAGGTATTCGTAGCTCTCGTTCGCCTTCTTCCCTACCGCGCTACGAATACCTATCTACCTACCTTACTCCGTTCGGTACCTGCACCCGTCGCATAGTAGTATCCATCCCCTACTGTACTGTTTTGGCGTCTTTTCAGCACCGTTACGCACCTCTCTTGTACCTACCCGCCCGCTATTCAGGGACCCTCTTTTTCACTCTTCCAGACCTCTTCTACCTCTTCTTCCCTCATCTCCCACCCTTCCCCTCCTGCTCCTTTCCCTTCTCTTCGTCTCTCCAGTTCACCACGAATCTGGATCGCCAGTCTCTGCTCGCGTCTTCCTTTCCAGCAGCAGAGATTCCCGTTTTCCCGATCACTTGCCGGTCCTATGATCGTGTCACTCGCTCAACACAACCACCATTAGCTGCTATCGCCGGTATCTGCTTTTTTCCATTTGGCCTCGGTTTGCAATCATCCATACAGACTTCTCGTTTTCTGTTTGACAGGTCTTGGGTCGTGGAGCTATCGTCCGAACTCACCTCACCAATCCGAGTTCACTACATCCGCACCAAGACTACAGCATAAGGAAGAGGAACCCTCGACGACAACCGACGACCTCACCTCATCGCTCAGACTGCTCGCTCACACAAACACCAAGCCGAACAACCCCCCTACAGCCGTCAAGCTGGACGAAAAACAACTAGACCGTCTTATTCGGACAATGGGCGCTAAGCTGCCTGGTCCGGTTCGCGCTTGCAGTATGCGAAACCCACTCACGAGAACGCTGCTTTTTGCAGTCGTCATCCTGGTCATCATGGCCCTCACTCTCAGAAACGACGCCATCGACGTCCGCGGCCGTATTATGAAGACCGGTGCCGGAGTCAAGTCCTCCATCACCCACCAGCAGCCTTTGGACCCCGTTAAGTCTCATGGCTCATCATCTCTCTCCGACAAGATCCCCGCCGAGCCGGCCCCCTCATCCACTCACGTCATGAACTGCGATGTCAACACCGACCACCTGAAGCAGGTCAAGGACAAGTATGGCCTCGACAACAAGATCCACTACTTCAAGCGCTACGTCAAGTTCACCCGCAAGAACATAATTCGAAAGGCCTACACCGTCCTCGACCAGGAGTTCCTGCCCAAGAAGTTCAAGACGGTTGATGTCACCAAGTCCTACGCTCCCGAGGAGTGCCACGCTCCTCTCGAGCTCCCCGTCCCTCAATCCCCTTACCCTGCCACTGTCAACGCCTCTGACTTCATGTTCGCTGTTTCCACCACCTACAAGCGTTTCAACGACCCCAAGACGAGCCCGATCAAGGAGTGGTCTCACTGGCTTACCGACAGCAACGGCAAGTCCAACGGGGGAAAGCTTCTGCTTCTCCTTCTGGACGCTAGCGACGCTGAGCTCAAGGATGCTAGCGACAGGCTCAAGCGTGTCGGCATTGACGTGGATGTGGCCCACTCCGACCCTTCCATGGAGATGGCTGTTCGCTACCTGACTCTTGTTCCCTACCTTTACAACCATCCCGACCGCAAGTCGAAGAAGTGGCTGGTTACCTGCGACGACGATACCTATTTCCCCAGCATGCACGGTCTCATCGACAAGTTCGCCACTTTCGATCACCTCGACCCTCTGTACGTTGGAACCCTTTCTGAGGATGTCAACGCTATCCACCGCCACGGTTCCCAGGCCTTCGGCGGTGCTGGTGTCTTCCTCAGCGTTCCCCTGGCTGCTGCCATCAACCAGCTGTACGAGTCTTGCAAGACCCCCCAGAAGGTCAAGGAAGCCAACTCCGGCTGGGGTCCCCAGGGCGATATTCTCCTCCGCAAGTGCATCTACGAAAACACCGAGGTCCGCCTCACCAATATCTGGGATCTGTGGCAGCTCGACCTGTACGGCGACCCGGCCGGTTTCTACGAGAGTGGCATCAAGCCCTTGAGCTTGCACCACTACAAGGGCGGCGGCTGGCACTTTGCCAAGCCCTTCCAGACCACCAAGGTTTCTCACGCCTGCGGCGAGGACTGCCCGTACCAGCGATTTATCACGTCCGACGACTTCATCATCGCCAACGGCTTCAGCGTTGCCCACTACCCGCAAGGCATCGACTTCAACCTCGATCAGATGGAGCGCACCTTTACTCCCGCCCCCGATGACATTGGCTGGAACTTGGACTACATGTTCGGCCCCCAGCGCAGATCTCTGCACAAGACTGGCCGCAAGATTGCCTGGGAGCTCCAGGAGGCTCACGTTCAGGAGGACGGTTCCGTACTCCAGATCTACACCCGCAGGAAGGACGACGAGCGCTGGGTCGAGGAGGACGGCGAGCCGATGAGCAAGATCGACGGCGTTATCGAGCTTGTGTGGATTCCCTCCACATGAGGTGCCCTCGGGATTCCCGAGCACGACGATACGACACAGGCGAAGGCCCTCTCGAGGCGCCTTCACCTCATGACATGATGGGACGGGTGGTTTTGGCGAAACGCCATCGGATAAAAGCACCTCAGCAACCCATCCAAGCATTTTCCCCATCATCCCAGGATATCCTGGCCTGTTTTCATAGCTGGTCCTCGGCCGAAATGGCACGGGCTTGTTTCGATTCAGACGGCAGCACAAAGGCAACCCGGCGAAGGATAACGGTTGCCTTTCCCAGGGCAAAAGCATACCATACGGATCCCCCAATACCAACCTCCCTGGACAGGATCATAATTATAATCCGCTGACCGCGATACCCTCATTTCATTACCAACAAAAACCCCCTTTTCGATTCGACTCGGTTCTCGACTTCGGCATATAGCTCCCAATCAGAGCTTCGGCGTTTGAGTTCGGGCTTTTTATTACAACAAGCATGCTGGCAACCGCTACACTTTCATTTTCCTTTCTTCTTCTGCGGCATTGCATTGCACATAGAAGGATTGCTTGGACGGATCTTGCAATCGGTACATAGACCTGTGAAAGGCCGGACGTTTGGAGTCATGATAAGGACGTTGGGTGTCCTTTTTCGGAGGTCAACCACCTGGATTAAATTACGGTGGCAGGAGGGTGCTCATACCATTGGCGCCTTGTAGAGTTAGACAAGTGTATACAAATGATACGAAATGTTCAAAAACATGACTTAATTCGTCTCGACTTGACTCGTGCGATGAGATTGCCTTCGATTGCCATGTGTCCAGATTCATGCGATGGGATGAACTTATGGAGCCTCAAATCTCAGGCCGAAAGCTTGTGTTGCGTCAGGCACGTATTGCTTTCTGTCTCAGCCACGCCCCACCCCCACTCGACGCCACATGCGCAGCTGTGCCACACGTGCCCCGCCAACGTCAGTTGGGCCGGTACGCTACTGCTGTGCCGTCCTGTGTCCTTCCATGTTTCGAGAAATGAAGTCATGAAGCTTGCTGGCCTAGCTTGAGCTCTTCCAACGTCCAACCCTGCCCCGATAGGGACCCTTCGATATGGCGACGTGAGTAACTGTTGCGATTATTCGAGTTGCCCTGTTTGGTCTGCTTGCTAACAGTCATTTGGGGCCAGTATATCGAACATCCTGTCGCTGCCCTTCCGCAAATCCACCCAACTGTCGCTGTCCTCGACGATACGGCAGTACATCAACACCAAATATGACCAGCACCCGGACATGTTCCGGCAGGACCTTGAGGTCATCGATGCCCTCCGACGCGATGCGGTCAACGTGAGAGAGCCGCACCCCAGCGGCATCAAGAAGCTCCAGGCCTACGCCGGACAGCTCGTGTGGATCGGTGGAAAGTTCCCGATTGACGTATGTGGGCATCCGCTCCTACGACAAACGCAACAAAACGCTAACCTATGCCTTGGACAGATTGGCGCCGAGTTCACCTGGTACCCAGCCCTGGGCTACAACACCGAGCGACCGATGGTCCGCAACAACCTCAAGTACGAGCTCATGAACATCCTCTACAACCTCGCCTCCCTCTACTCCCAGCTCGCCGTCGCCCAGTCCCGCACGGGCACAGAGGGCCTCAAGACCGCCGCGGGCTACTTCTCGTCCGCCGCGGGCGTGCTCCAGCACATGCAGAAGGAGATCCTCCCCGAACTGCGCATGTCGGACCCGCCCGAGGACATGGACGCCAACACGCTCGAGTCGCTGGCGCAGCTGCTGCTCGCGCAGTCGCAGGAGTGCTTCTGGCAGAAGGCCGTTATGGACGGGTACAAGGACGCCATCATCGCCCGGCTGGCGGCGCGCGTGTCGGACCTGTACAACTCGGCGGGCGAGGCGGCGATGAAGAGCGAGGCGATCAGCTCCGCGTGGATCCACCACATGAGCGCGAAGCACCACCACTTTGCGGGCGCCGCGCAGTACCGCGCCGCGTGCGACTGCTTGGAGAAGAGGAAGTACGGCGAGGAGGTTGCGAGGTTGCAGGACGCGGTGGCGTGCGTCAACGAAGGGCTGAAGGAGAGCAGGGGCGGGTACCTCAACAAAGCTGTTCTCGATGACCTGAATGGCCTGAAGAGGAAGGTTGAGGAGGATCTGAAGCGGGCGGAGAAGGACAACGACGTGATTTATCTCAGTGAGTATTGCGAGGTGGAGGTCGGAAGCGGCCAGGCTAATGCAAGCAGATCCCGTACCGCCCAAGTCTGAACTCAAGATCCTCGACAGGGCGAACATGGCCATCGCTAAGGTTCCGCCTCAAGTGGGCAACCCGTTCGATTACCTCGGAGACCAGGCCGAGTTCGGGCCCGCCCTCTTCACAAAACTCGTGCCGTTCTCCGTGCACGCCGCCATCACCATCTACGAACAACTCCGCGATCGCATTGTCAACGAGAATATTATTGGTCAGATGGAGACTCAGACTGAGAAGCTCCACCAGATTCTCAGCTCTATCAACCTGCCGGGCTCATTACAGGCGCTCGAGAAGCCTCTCGGTTTGCCTCACAGCCTGGTTCACCACGCCGAGGAGATTCGCCAGGCTGACGCCATTGGACGCATCCAGCGAGCGTTCTCCGATATCGACAAACTCCGGAATGCAGATATTTCAGTCTTCAATGAGGGCAAAGCTATTCTTACAGCAGAGGAGGAAGAGGACCAGAGGCTTAGACGGAAGTACGGTACCGACAGGTGGTCGAGACCAGACAGCCGGAGCGATCCTCAGGGCGCTGCATTCTGGGGACAGGTGGCAGAAATCGAGGGCTACTTTGCCAGCAGTACGAGCAGTGACGCGCTTGTGCGAGAGAAGTACAGAGAGGTCCAGGACTTGCTGGAGATGCTGTCCGGATCGGACCGAGCTCTTATGGACTACGTCCCTTCAAGCAGACGGATGGACATCCCCGAGCCTTTGAAGCCAGTCATAGGAAGACTGCGTGGGGCCTACAATGACGTCCTCCGTCTCGAATCGAGAAGGAGAAAGAAGGCCGAGGCACTGAGGGAGAAGGCAAGAACGGACGACATCAAGCCCGACATTCTCAAAGAGGCTGCCCGTCTTGAGCGGACGTACCCGACAACAGCCATCGTCCCGGCGCACTTTGAAGAGTTTTTCGAGAAGCGTCTTGACAAGCTCTACGATGGAGACATTGAAGCTGTGGCAAAGGAAGAGGACGAACAGGACCGGCTCATGACGGAGGTGCAACGGGTTAACCGGGAGTTCGAGAGCCAGAAGAAGAATCTTACCAGCGGCAGCAGGGAGCGCGAGCAAGCGTTGCAGAGGTTGGACAACGCGTACTACAAGTACAAGGAGATTGTCAACAACGTGGACGTGGGCCGCAAGTTCTACAACGACCTGAGCAAAGTGGTCGGCCAGAACTTCCGGGACCCGGTCAAGGCGTGGGCTGCGGAGCGGCGGATGGACGCCAAGAGTCTCGAAGAGTCAGTATTGTCCTATTGTTTTATACGAGTATATGCTAACAACGTTCCAGGGAGGTCAACATGCCGCCTCTCGGCTCTCTCAACATCAACAGGTCCCCAGTCCACTCGCCCGCTGGCTCAACGTACGACCAACGCACAAACAACTCCTACTTCAATGCCAGTGTCGTCCCCGGCTCCTCACCGCCTCAGCAGCAGGCCTCAAGACAGGAGGTGGTGCATCCTCCTGCCGAGGCACACATCCAGTCATGGGCGGGCTCGACCGTCGAACCGCAACATCCCAGGCCAACTAGCATGTGGCAGCCCGATATGGGGATCAAGTTCTCGGCACCGGCCGGCTCGTCGGCTGCGCCCACCACGCAGCAAGCGCAGGGATCGGGGAGCAAGCCCCCGCAGGGCGGCACCTGGGACCCGGGCTCCGGAATAAGATTCGGATAGGATACGAACCGGTTCCCGCCCCCTAGACGAAAACCACAGGCGTAGAGATTTGGTTCAGGTAGAAAGAGTACCGCGATGTCGTTGAGCTCGGCGTTGGTGGGTTTTGTGTCGTCGTCGCTAGATGTGTTCATAGCTCCAGCTTTGTTGGTGGCCCCCCTTTATCCGTACATAATTCCATCCATGAAGTCTTTGTTCTTTTCATCCGCGTGCCTCCCCTGTCATCTGCGAATCCTGACGCGCGCCACAATACCCCATCCTCGCATGCTCTCCCAGATCCCCATCTCGTTCTCCCTGCGAAAGGTCACCTCCTCCGCACGCACCGTCATGCTTACATCCTCGTCCTGCTGCTGCTGCTGATTCCTTGCCTTGCTTACTTCTGGCCGCGGTGCCGCTGACGATGAACTTGCTGCCGTCTCTGATGACGATCCGCCCCTGAACAGCCCCCACCCCCGCGCCTTCTTCTTCTCCTGGATGACCTGCTCCACGACCTGCCGCACGACGGTGCGGTCGAGCTTGGGCTCGGGCTGGAGCTGCCGCGCGAGGCGGCGCGCCATGTCCTCGTCGGCCCACCACCACTCTTCTTCCTGGGCGGTTTCTGGGGAGGAGGAGGAGGAGGAGTCGGACCAGCGGCCCCATTCGTCGAAGGCGGCGGGTGGGTTGGGGCGAAGGGATGAGGAGGAAGATGGTTCGCGGAGGGAGGAGGAGGAGGAGGGTTCGCCTGGGTTTGCGGCGGGGGTTTGTTCCGGTTTTGAGAGGTGCCCCTTTGAATCTGCGGGAGGTGGGGGAGAGACGCGGATGACCTGGACGACTTCGTTTGTCTCGGAGGCGATGCTCCAGCGGGGTCCGACGGCGGCGGCGGGGACGAAGACGAGCTCGGCGAGGGGCGGCGGGGAGGGGGATGTCGCGAGGGTTGTGAGGAGGGCGGTGAGATGCGGGGTGAGGAGGGGGAGGAGGGTTGTCGTTTTGTGGGAGGCGAGGGCGGATTGTTGGGCTTGCGTTGTGCGGAGGAGGGAGGTGAGGGAGGAGAGGGTTTGGGGGAGTTGTTGTGAGAATGAGGAGGGGGAAGTGGTTGAGGTGAGTGAGGTGTAGGAGGGGGGAGGGTCGGAGGGGTCGTTGTTGTCGTCGTGGTTGTCGGTGTATGAGGGTGGTTGTTTGGACATCTTGTTTCGATTTGCTGAGGTCTAGATGGTGAGACGCTGAGGCTATTGACGACGTTTGGTTGGGTGAGGCTATTGATGATGTGGTGTTGATGCCTGTGATGATGACTTGGTGATGATAGTGTCAGGTTGCTGTTGATCTGACAATGATTGGTAAGAAAGGCAAGGATACACGATGTTTTCGTTTGAAGCCTTGATGGGCTGTAGATGGGTATCGCTGTATGACAAAAGACCGGTAGCTGGTTGGCAAAGAATGCCAGAGAGGTTGTTCATGAATGGATGGATGTCACGAGATGATCTGCCTTGTGTCAGCCCCAGTACGGTGCAGGGAAAACGCCACCCAGTGTGCCTGGTCCTATCACAGGATGAACTTGCATGCAGCCACAAGAGGATTATTTCGCCTCCGAAGGTGAGGTGTTCACGTGAGTGCGAACTCGGCCGACGGCGATGAGCGGGAATTATACTTTATGAGGCTGGGTCCGGATGATCTCAATGAATTCTCCGATTCTATCAGGGTCGTTTGGTGAAGAATGAGGTGCGCTGGGCAATGGAAATGAGGGAAATGCGGTGGCCGGAGACTAAGAAGATGGCGTGAGGCTGCGCCCCCTCAGCTCATAGCCGACCGAGCCTTGGGTTTGCTGTGCCGTTGATCCTGACTGTCCTTGGGGATTGTGCGACATGAACCGGTTATGGCGGGGCGTCTAGGCACTTGCGCTAAGTCGGGGATTATTGGACAGTTGTGGCGCCAGGATGACTACGAGTCTGATTGATGCACCGATGCATTCCACTCGCGCAATGAGCCAGATTGAGGTGTCCGTGGAATTAGCGTCACCCGATTGCTGTGTAACAGCGCGGGGACCCCCTTTCGCTTCCAGCATTCCGGAGACAGGTGACCGATTTTTTGAGGCCCACCCCTGACTCCGCCTCCGGTTCGGTCCCCGGATGCGGGCTTCGGTACCGATAGGGTCGGGTTGCGTTGTTAGACGCGAGAGCCCGAGAATGTTGATCTGGGGACTAGCTGAGTGATTTCTCGTGAGTGATGCTGTCTAGCCTGAGGCATTTCTCTGCGAGATAGAAGTGCAGATGCTTTGGCATGATGTAAGTCTGGAATTGATTAGGATTGTTCAGCTGAGGCGTTCCTCGGTGAGCGCATTGGAACAGGGGAATCCATGAGTGCGACTCTGATTGCGGACGGAATATTCCTCCGGGGCGAAATCTTATCTGATAGACCCTGTGCATATGACAGAACCCTGATTTTGAGGCTGAGATGCCCATCTACATGAAAGCAGCGGTTCATAGAGTAGCTGGCCTCAATAGTTGGAGAGTGCACATCAAGGTCCTTTGGATAAGTGTGAGTCGGGCGGAATTATCAAATTAGCAGCAAAAACGTAGGTGCCCCACCAAGGTGCTAATTTGTCCCTTACGGGCGCCTATACGTACAATTTAACAGGAATGATCGCCGTCTTATCCCCCACAGACCCACATACCAAGCCACTAGGCAGCCGTTTAGGAAGGCTTCTGGAAGGCGAAGGGAGCTTGGGCCAGCATCATATGACTTACTCCAGGCGCCACTGATGACATGAAGTAGTTTTTGTGATGATGAATACCGCGAACTTGCGAGAGTTTCTGGGGATAATTCATGAATTCGGAGGTGGCCGAACACTTGTTCATGTCGGAAAAGATAACGTGACATCAATAGAGCGAAGAAGAGGGTTTATGCGGCATAGTCTATTCATCTTCATACCTTGGGCGCATTCCAAGTGACATACCAAGGCCATTTCAGCCCTTCCTCGGCTCCGCCACACACCCGCTTGGATAGCTCCTACGCGCCGTTTGCTGCTTTCCCCTCTTCGGCATGGCCCTTGGTAGTGTTACACGAGGCTCAACGATTGGCTTTCGCTCCTGCAAGAATGCCTCGCGATCTGCCGTCGTGCCTATGACTCCTAAAGGTTGACATATCAGAAACGCGAACAGACCGAGCATACATAAAAAGGAGGAAAGCCATCTACAATGTTTGCTCTTTCGTGTCACACAAGTGTAACATTATTCTCAGATACCCCAACATACCCTCCTTCGTTATCAAGGGTTGTGAATTACTCCGTTAGTACCAACGCCACCAACACCTTATCGGCTCATCCAAAGCATAAGTAAACCTTCTCGTCACCCGCCACCCTTACTACTCGGATTCTCCGACAGACCTCAACGACAACTATCTATATAACATCAGTTGCTGTCCCCATCTTATCCCTTTGACTTCAGCCAGCAAGGCAATTACTTAATCATTCCTCATCTTTCATACCCCATCCCTATCCATTGTAAAACAAACAAATACCGCCAAGATGTCGTACAGAATCGCTGCCCCCGATGAGTACTTGGCCATCACGGGTATGTCCGTGAAGACGGTCAAGATCACAAAGGCAACATGGGTCTGGCCCTTCCAGCGCTGCATGCGCTTCTCCGTCCAGCCCCACGACTATGCCATGAGCCTGCAAGCCATGACCAAGGAGAAACTGCAGTTCCTGCTGCCCGTCGTCTTCACCGTCGGCCCGGACGTCAACTCCCGCGGCGCAAACGCCCAGCACCTCTACCACGGCAGCAACAGCAACAACAACGATAGCTCCGTCCACAGCAACGACCACGACTCCATCCCCGCCAACACCCGCGAGGACCGCGGCGACGCCCTCATGAAGTACGCCATGCTCCTCGCCGAGGCCGCCGACAAGAAGGGCGGCTCCATGCTGCACCTCGAGAACATCGTCAAGGGCGTCATCGAGGGCGAGGTGCGCGTGCTCGTCTCCAGCATGACCATGGAGGAGATCTTCACCGAGCGCGAGGTCTTCAAGCGCCGCATCTTCAAGAACATCCAGTCCGAGCTCTCCCAGTTCGGCCTCGTCATCTACAACGCCAACGTCAAGGAGCTCAAGGACGCGCCCAACAGCATCTACTTCGAGTCGCTCTCGCGCAAGGCCCACGAGGGCGCGACCAACCAGGCCCGCATCGACGTCGCCGAGGCGCAGCTGCGCGGAAACGTCGGCGAGGCCCAGCGCAAGGGCGAGCAGGACCGCGAGATTGCCAAGATCAACGCCGAGACGGCCGTGCAGAAGACGGAGCGCGACATTGAGCGCGCCACGGCCGAGGCGAACCTCGACACGCGCCAGGCGTCGCTGACGCGCGACGTCGACATTGCCCGCGTGCAGGCGCAGCGCGCGCTCGAGAGCAAGGACGAGGACTTGAAGAAGGAGGTCGAGGTGAAGCGCGCGGCGGCCGAGATCGAGCGCCTGCGTGCGCGGGACGTCGTCAAGGCGACCATTGAGCGCGAGGCGCGGCAGCAGCAGACGGATGCGGAGGCGTACGCCGTCGAGGCGGACGCGCGGGCGCGCGCGGAGAAGAACAAGCGCGAGGCGGAGGCCGGCGCGTACGGGATCGAGGCGGATGCCAAGGCGCGGTTCGAGAAGAACAAGCTCGACGCCGAGGCGGCGCAGTACGCGACGCAGCTGGCGGCCGATGCGGACCTCGCGGTGTCGCTGAAGAAGGCCGAGGGTCTGTCCGCGATGGCGGACGCCTACGGCAAGATGGCGCAGGCCTTCGGCGGCCCGGCGGGTCTGATGCAGTACCTGATGATCGAGAAGGGCACCTACGTCGAGCTGGCCAAGGCGAACGCCTCGGCCATTCGTGGTCTGGAGCCCAAGATCAGCGTGTGGAACACGGGGTCTCAGTCAGGCGAGGGTGGCGGCAACTCTGGGGTCGACACGATGAGGAACATTTACCAGATGCTGCCGCCTCTGATGACGACCATCAACGAGCAGACTGGTATTACGCTTCCCGAGTGGCAGTTTGGTAAGCTCAACGCTGGCATGAACGCTATGCAGGCTGAGCAGCATGGCAAGAAGGTCAACGGCGGTCACTGAGAGGCTATGACGGATAACACTCGTTGGTGAAATTGGGGATATCGGCGTTGATGGCTTAGTTTGAGATACCAGGGCGGTCACTGTCGATTATAGATTTCATTTGTCTGCAATGTATCATCAAGCTTAGTATCATGATGGAATTAATCAAAGACTCTAGTTTTCAAGGTTATCTACCATATAAATAAATGCCCCTTATATCGTACCCTTGTTCTGAATTCTCAAGGTAGTTTTTGTTTGTTTAGGTTTCTTCACAAATTCGGGTCATCACTAGTTTCAAGATCCAATCCAACAGGAGAAGCTAAACTCAGTACTGCAGTGGCACTATAGAGTGTTGCTATCCGGGCGGATACTTCTAGCTAACTGGGCGGATAACCACCTGTATCAGGTCTAATAGTTTATGAGTCTACTTTATCTTAGTCAATCTCTACTACTATTGTCCCTACTGCTACTGCCGTCCCTATTCCTATCTCTATTTCTGCCGGTACTATTGTTGTTGTCCTTGTTGTCGTCCATCTCTACTACCCGTCTGGTTAGCTAGAAGTATCCGCCGGATAGCAAAACTAGCGTAGTAACACTATCCAATCCCATTGAAGTCGCAGCACGTTTGTGAGACACCACCAGGGCGATGGAAAATTCGACGCGCCGCAATCTTTACTGTCCTCAAAGACGTGAAGCCAAATACATTTCGAGGTGAGATTCCAATGCGGAATTCTTCTGTCAAAAACTTACCCATCCATGCTTTACGACTCTTCCACTCTGATCAAGTTCCTTCAGCCATCCATTCGCCACTTCAGTCGTGTCACCGGAAACGTAAAGCCGGCTCAATAACCCAAGGTCGGCATGGAAATACAATACCCCATCGCGACCATCGGCCTACGACCATTCACCTTCTCCGCTGTCCCCGATGCGGGTGCACCGGGACAGAGTTGCCCCCCCCCCCCCCCCCCCCCCCCCCCCCCCCCCCCCCCCCCNCCCCCCCCCCCCCCCCCGGCACCCCGCTGTCACCTATCGCTAAAGCCGGCGCCACGGCACTGGGCGTACTACACAAAACGTTGTTTCTGGTAACTGTTTGTGCAGTAGCATGGATTAAGTGTGGACAGGAGTCTATCAACATGTGCGTAGTGCAACAAACCTTTCCCCCGTTTCATCTCCTGATATAGCCGCCATTCATGATTGATACTAGAAAAACAACCCCCGAGTCGTCTGTCTCTATCCACTTTAGTAACTCGTTGATAGAGGTTGCGGAGGGCCACCGACTCGTCCCTTTCATTCACTTGACACGATCTAAATATCCATGGGACGCCAATTCCCGGTGGGATGGATTTAGACCCATTGAAACGGGCGATTCGTCCCCCTTTGACCAGATTCATACATGTACCTGTGAAAGACCTGCAAAACAATCAAGCCACTGTGAACGCTAAGGTCATCGTGTCTGGCAAAACTACATGCACTGGCGCGAGGACCTTCCACGCCTGCCAACGCCGCCATCCCTATACCGCCCACATCGTCAATAGTGCCTTCACTTCTCGCGCTTGCCATACCTTTGCCTTCCTGCCTTATCTCATCCAATCGCCGAAGGGTAGTCCAAGCGTTGGGTATTGCTCACAGTCGATCCAGCCACCGAAGAGAACCCTTCCGTGCTTTGGTAACCCGAGCCTCCCGTAAAGAGAATGGATCTCGCCCCCTATTTGAAACTAGGAGATGAGGCTCATTATTTAGACTTTCTTCGTATTCTTGACGAGATTCGGACTTCTCTTCCCCTCCCGAGTTCACCGCAGTCTAACCAACTGAACTCAACTGTATATTAACTGACGTTCCTTTCCAGTTGGCCAACACGATCAGCTGGATATCTTCCCAGACCGAAACACATTCACACGGTACAACACTAGATTTCCCACGATGCAATTCCTCAACGCAATCCTCGCTTTCGCTTCACTCGCAGCTTCTGCGGCTGCCGCCTCTGCCGACGCGGCTACCCCTATTGAGGCGAGACAGGCTGCAAGCCCCTGCTATTCTAACCAGAAGTTGACCTGGAACACGGGCCAGTATGGCAACAGTGGAGGATGGGGTGTAAGTAAACCCTAGTAAATTCCTACTGCGATGATGCTAACTTTGATGTCACTTCAGTGTGTCACCAACACTAATGGCGGCTGCAAGTCCTACTACTGGAAGACAGAGCTTCCTTACTACAGCGTAAGCATGATAGTTGCATACTTTCGGGATTGAAACCTTGCTGACTTGGCTTTGATTCTTAGTGCACTTAACGTGTATGCTCTGTATTTTGAACAGCGTGCTCGGATCGCAACATATCTCTTGCCTAGGTAGCATTTCTTCGCAGAGTTTTTTAGTCATGCCATGCTAGCTGCAGGGGATTACATTCATGTTGATCTAGGTTTCTTTAGCTTGGATGGGGCTTCACTATATTTTTAGAGGTGAACTTTTCTCATGCGCCGGATCTTGCTATGATATTCAAACACATTTGATTTGGCACAGATCCACTAGCAGCCAGTTTGTTGTATGAATAGCCTTCTTCTGGTAGCGAATTGATTTTGTATCACATCTGTTGTAATTGTATCAAAGCCTTAAACTGAAGAAAACAGTCGAAACTCTTCAGATGTTACTGGGTCCAAACTTTGCAAAATCCACAATCTCACCCTTTTTGGCTTTCACCTCTTCCAGTTTACCATCGGCCACCCTCAACCGAATGTGGATACTCTTACAAAGTCCCAAGGCTTTTCCTTTGGGACTGAGAAAGTCTTTAGAGAGCTTCCATTTGCGGCCACTGAAAATCTTGGGCAGTAAATCATTATATAACGGCTGGGACATGACGTCGTGATTCTCGCAGTATGCTCCCGTGATGTCCGTATCAAATCGAAGGGCTTGAGACTCCGGTGCCCATCTCGCTTTCAAAAGACCTTGGTGGTGATAGAGAACGGCCGCAGATTTGCCTTTTCGGTTGTCCTTGACACCCCCCAAGCTCTCGTCAGAGACATGGAAAGGTTTACCATGTTCAATTGCCTTTTGGACAGCATCTAGCACCGTTTGGTTTGTAATCCGTTTGCCACCGTAAACGACGACTGTGTTGTTGATTCCCTTAAAATCATTGTACCTTTGAAGGCTGTTGGCGAGGGAGACGGTAAGAAGGTCTGTTGTCTCGATCTTGTCCATATCGATTCGGTTGACACTGCGTTCGAGTCGCTGCAAGACCCATGGGAAACGTTTCTTTTGCGTCTGTTCGGCTTTTTCAAGTTCGCTGGATCCCGAGAGATATGAGCTGCTCATTGAATTCAATGATGGAGAAGAATTTAGGTCATCCTCATCCGGGCCTCTGGTTAGCCGAGTAAACGGATCCGGGTCTTTAGTAAAGAGGCGCTCATGAGGCCAGAAACCGCTTTTGTGAATGTGAGAGGAGTTCTTGTAACCCTCAATAAGTCCAATTACAGCGGGTTTGCCATTTCCAATGAAGTACTTCAGAGGGAGATCGTGGAGGTATGTATGCTTCGAGGCCCCAGGACTTTCAACGGTGTGCAGATTTTCCAGCCGCTTTAGAAGCCCAAAGAAATCCTCCCACTCGCGTTGCGTGGGCTCTCTCTCGGTAGACTTGCCTCCCAATGGGTCGCTGGACGTCGCTGGGGATATGTGAATTCTCTGAGTCCGCTTGATATGGATGACGACTAGTTCCGGGTTCTTTCTGGTGAACGTGTTGATGTCATCAACGACTTTCTGGATGGGAACGCAACTTGCACCCTGGACCCCAACAGCGTCGCCGACGTTGGTGTAGTGACCGCAGTGCCAGGAAGGAGCATCTTGAGTGCTGCTCTTGGAGGTAAGGACAGGACGAATGTCGAGGTAACGGACGCCGAGATTGAGTTGGTCAAGGATTGATCGCGTCTGGGTCAACACCATGTCGTCCAGTCCTAGCTCCGTCCGCAAGTTGTTGTGAACATAGCTAGTGCCGGCGTCGTGGGAAGAAGGAAGAGTGATGTGCTTGAGAGGGAGGTTTCCAAGTGTGGCGTTGTGGAGTTGCATCCACTGTTGAGAATACTCAGCCATCATCATTGGCGGCCGTTGGACACAACGATGAGTAGATTGACCTAGGAGAGATTAAATCTATACAGGAGCGCACACATTCTTTTATAGTTATGTCTTGTCCTCATTGAGACCTTGATGGCGTGTCAGACGCCTGTAGGCGCCAAACTTTGAGCGCGTGTTCCCGAAATTTCATGATCTTCCTACGGGTGTTCAATATTTGAGAACGCCACACAAGGGCAATTCCAACGATCTTCGTGCATAGGTATTTCTGTTCCACCACGGACCGACGCGAGAGCGAAATATTGCATTTAAAAGGTCAACACGATATTAACTCTACGAACCAAGAGTGACAACAATCTTCTGAGAAGACACGCCCTGTTCTAAAAGATCAATTCCAGTCTGGATCGCCTCTAAGCCTGAACCAACCACGCTCGCTTTTGGCACAGCCTTGAATTTTCCGCCCTTCAGAGCCTTCGGCACGAAGTCGAGAAACATTGTCTTGCACAAGTCAGAGTCGACAATGTCTGTTGCCAAAAAGGACTTCATGTCCACGCCCTGCGGCGCCGTTGAAGGCGGCGCTCTGACGCAAGCCACGCAGCTGGACACACGTTCAGAGACACCCAATACAATGCGTGCGCAGCTGCACATGGCAGCTTCCGTCCCGCTAGCCTCGTATACCCCAGCCAGTGTCTTTCCCTTGAGAGAGACGACAATGTCTTCTTCGATTGAGGACGATTTGTAGTCAAACACCTGTGTCGCTCCGAGACTCTTGATATTCTCGTGATTCTTTGGGGAAGCTGTTGAAAAAACTTCATAGCCCGCCATCTTTGCAAGTTGGATCGCAATGCCCCCAACACTCGTCGCCCCTCCCCATACAAGGACCACTTCCCCAGTGTGATGGGGTTCGACAGAAGGCAGCTGTAGGCCGAGCTCCGCCTTTCCAAAAAGCCCAAGGGCTGCCGTTGCAATGGCGAGGGGGAGCACAGCTGCCTGTTCAAAAGATAACTCTTCTGGGATCGCAGAAACGCAATTCGAAGGGATCAAAGCATAAGCTTGAAAGGCGCTGTTCGCATTATCATCTGTGCGGAGGGAGGTTGCAAGTCCCAGGACCCGATCTCCAGGTCTGACGTGCGTGATGTTTGAGCCCACAACCTCAACCACCCCGGCCAAGTCCATCCCAAGTATGGCCGGGTACGTTCTGGGAAATAAAGCGTTCTTCTGGATGGCGCCGTCAACGGGGTTTATTGCGACAGCCATGGTTCTGATGAGGACATCGTCAGTTGTTGGATGACGCAGCGCAGCCTTCCCTGTACGAAGACAGCTACTACGTTCTTCTGTCGCCCAGGCTGCGATATTTGAAGGCATTGTGATTCAATTTGTTGTGACCTGAATCCCTGGAGTGGTGGAATTATGTGCAGAGTACAGCTGAATATCACGTTAAAAATGCGAGGGAATCAAAACCTCGGCCAACAATGTCCCAATCACGATTTGCGCCGACGTCATAAATACACACCGACCTCGTGTTCCAACTCACAGCTGTTGGCTGGCGGGATACTTCTCCAAAAGCTGGGATGAACACGGTCGATGTGGGTAGTGAAACATGGAACCAACGCCGATCATGATGTCAAGCGTCCTGTCCAAATAAGAAAGCAGAGGAAACGCATCAGCCATTCAATTAACATACCAAATAGCCATGTTTGGCGCATGTAGATTCTTATCGATAGCTGATGAAATCCATGTGAGCCAGCAGGTTCTCGCTTGTTCACTACTCCGGCTTTGGGTGTACAGGATTCACGCGGTTTCGATTCGCTTGTCGACCAAAACCTCATCAAGTCAGGGTGCCGCCTCTCGTAGGAGTGCCTTGATACTGCCCGCAACGTCTACAAAGTCCGAATTGGCGAGATGTTCCAGGCTCAGACCCGCTGTCGCATCGTCCGTGAAGGTGCTGCGCCGCTGCGCCCGGAAGAAGGCGTGCTGCCCGACGAGAACAGCTATTCTCGAGTCCCCCAAAATTACTCAACTGAGATAATGTCCTCGTCCTTTTTTATTCTTCCGCGTTGAGTCTCTGCTCCTGTGCTATCGCCAACCACACGATTAAGGGCCAGTCGCCAGCACAAGGATATGAATGTATGTTCGAAAGGTGCGGCCCGTTTGAGTCTCCGATATAGCCGCCCCGTAGCAAACGGTCAGTCTGCCAAGTTCGAATTTGGTAAGTCTGGGACTTGGAATCGCTGCTGTTGTGTTTGGCGTTGGCTATGGTCAGTTTAGCTTCGACGGCAACACGGTCGCCTGAGCAGCTCAGAATACCAAGTGCACGGGACTAATATTGCAGGACATGACAGACTCACCGCAACCCTTCGGTCGCAGGGAGTAAGACACCAAGGGAAGCCTAATCGGCAATACCAACATACCAACATTTTGAGTCCTCATTGAAACTCGGCCTTGCTGGTGCAATTGAGACAAAGATCACTAAGGAAGCATTGGTATCCACCATGGGCTACAGGGCATCTCATTTCTTTGGTATCGGGCTTGAAATTTCAGCATTGCCATCCGCGCAAACCCCAAGTTGGTGTGATCGGGTCGCGAATGGCGAGCTCGCGTGAAGGCTTAGAAGATGAGAAAGAGAGAAATATTAGAAACGTCCCAGGTGTTGCAGCTCAGATGAGTGGCATGTAGAAACGTGCTGAGTTGCAAGAAAGGACGAGAAGATCAGAGGCGATGTTTCTTCTGCCCTTAATAGACAGCATAGAAATGGAGGGCCTCTGAAAGTTCCATGGTCATCACCTCAGGGCGATGGAAGACCAGAGACCCAACGCTAATAGGCAACAGATAAGCGAAAGATTTCTCGTCAGAAATGGTTCAGTGATGCGGGGGAGCAGCCGTATATCGGGTTTTGCGGCAGCTCATCGTAGTACGTGGCGCATAAGCTGCCGGCAGTGATGCACTTCCCGTTTCCCCGTGTAGAGGAGAAGTCTCCAACGGACTTCAATGATCTACCCGTGCCGCTACATTGCATTAGCCTTTCCAAACTATAGAAGACGATCACTGGCACGATTTACGGCCTGTGCATAGGAATCAAGCGGTGAGGGGCCTTGCTATCTATAGGGGGCCACACAATGCCAGCACTGAAACGGGTACATGACCTAGTTGCATCGCGTATGTTTCGATCTTCGAGCGGAGTAATAAAGACCATCTGATTGGGTGAATGTGTCAACATGGGATGGCTGCTGCCATCTTGTGTTGCAGCACTCGGGATGAAAGTGAATTAGGAAGTGAGCATCCCGAGGGCCGGGGCTTTCGTCCGGCCCGAGTCCCGATACAATCGGGCGTCGGGTCGGTTCCCTACCGATTACTCACGATTTCCCAACGGCAATCGACCCCTGATAGACGGCCTTGGAGCAAATGAGGCTGATACAACTTTATTTTACTGTTGCTAATTATTTGTACGTATAGCAGCCATCACGGTTTAAATATCTCGTCCAAGCCCGCTATATCAAGTCTTTGCATGTTTCGCTCAGAGGGCTTGTAAGTATCGGCGCCAAGATCAAAGCACTCACGATGAAGTTCATTCCAGGTGGTATTATTCCGTCTTCGCTGGGGTTCGGTTCCCTTGCAGCCATCCTCCTAAGTTCATTTGCCCCAACTTTACAGACCTTGCACTCACAATCTGGCAACGAAGCTTGTGGTGTATGGCGCGTCGGTAGTCGTATACAATCTATTCTTCCACCCATTGCGTCGGTTCCCTGGCCCTAAGTTATGGGCAGCCACACCCCTCCCTGCTGCGCTCAATGTTCTCCGCGGGCTCTCTCACGTTAAGATTCTTGAACTCCACAAGCGCTATGGGGACATTGTCCGAGTAGGGCCCAACGAACTAGCCTTCGCGCATTCGGATGTGTGGAAGGATGTCTGCGGACATTTGAAGCGCGACCAGGAGGAAAATGGCAAGGATCCCAAGTACGGCAATGAGGACTTGGACAAGAGTCTGATCTCAGCTTCACGCGAGCGACACGGGCCGTTGCGACGTTTGCTTTCTCACGGGTTCTCGGCTCGTGCCATGGCTGAGCAGCAACCACTCATCAACACCTATATCGATCTTTTCATGGAACGGCTCCGGGAGCACGGAGAGAATGGGTCGCGGCCTATCGATGCATCGAAATGGTTCGAATGGACAACATTCGACATCATTGGGGACTTGGCCTTCGGCGAATCTTTCGGCTGTCTGCGCACTTCCGCTTCTCATCCCTGGGTTGAAAGCTTCTTCGACTCGATGAAAATCATCCCAGCTATCCAGGCAATCAGCGACTTGCCCTTCTTTTCGATCCTGGCACCTCTATACTTCATGATTTTTATCCCGAAGAACGTCGCTACCCAACGCCGAACGAGCCAGCAATTTGCCGAAGAAAGCTTGAAGAAGAGGCTGAGTCTGGGTACTGACCGGCCCGACTTCGTACAAGCGATGCTTAAAGGCGGCAAAGAGCATGTGAGTAATTAACCTGGCTGAGACGTACTTCTTTCCCATTAACACCATGGACGCAGACCTTGACGCCGACTGAATTGCGAGACAACAGCGTTCTCCTTACTACGGCCGGCTCTGAGACTACAGCTACAACACTTGCTGCAACGACATACTTCCTCGCCACTCATCCTAACGCACTTCAAAAGTTGAACGATGAGGTCCGGTCAGCTTTCAATAGTGAAGATGAAATCGACGTCAACAGCGTCCAGAACCTGCCCTACATGCTCGCTGTTCTGAAGGAAGCTATGCGCGTCCATCCAGCTGTAGCCATATCTCTGCCACGATCAACTCCTCGCAGTGGAGCGCAGGTCGCCGGAGAACATATCCCGGGAGGCGTAAGTTTGTGCAGTTGATTTGCGATTTGATGTGGGGCAATTTACTGACAAGTCGTAGACGACTCTGGGTATCTGGCAATACGCCCTCTATCACGACCCGACCAAGTTTCTTTACCCGGACTCCTTCATTCCTGAGCGATGGTTGGACGACAAACGCTTTGAAAATGACGCGAAGCACATGCACCAACCTTTCTCATACGGTCCTCGGAACTGTCTGGGCATGAAGTAAGAATTGCTAAGACCGCCAGTTAGCCTGCTGGCTACGTTAATCCATGCTTCGGTTTGCTGACTCTCTTATTCTTTCATTAGTCTTGCTTACGCTGAGATGCGTTTGATTCTTGCTCGCATTATTTGGACTTTTGACCTGGAGCTTGAGTCCCAAAGCCGGGAATGGGCGGCGAATCAGAAGGTGTTCTTCTTTTGGGACAAGCCGCCTCTGTGGACATACTTCAAGCCCAGAAGGTCTTAGAATGCAACCAAACGCCCGATTTGTCGATCTTTAGAAAGACATTGTGTGGTATCTTATCTAACACATGTTTGACTTTTTTAACCCACTGCTGTAACGCTAGCTAGTCGGATGGGTTCGGGGTGATACAGAAGCACACGTAGACAGACGCTTCCTGAATGAAGCCGGGGGAATTCGATGGAATACATAAAGTCATTTCACGGTCGTCGGGTGTATTCGGGAACATGCCATACTATTCGATTACAGCTCACATTAGTGGTGATAGTTGAGAGTCGGCGCAATGTTTAATCGAGATCACATAGACGCCCTAGGTTAAATGAAATCGACGATTTCCAGCATTTCTGTACAAGTTACACTTTTGGACGTTGAATGTTTTTCGAAGGCTAAAAAATCACCAGGGGTTGCAGTGAATGAAGACACTGGAAACTACCCGGATTTTGCTGTCGCAGCGCGACGTCGCTCACTGAGGGTTTTGCTTTTGTCTCCATCCCTGCCTCTGGCACTGAGGGTATCTTTATCAAAACACTAATGGATCGTTTGAAGCATAAGCTTAAACTTATCTTAGTGCATAGGAAATCCAGAAGCCTCTTTCCTGTGGCTACACTCTACCTAACCGTCGTGGTCGTCGCTACTATCGTCTTCGATAAGGTCGCGGTGCTTAAGAACGCAGGAAATATAGCCGTATAGACACAGGAAAATTAGCTGGTCTCAAAATCAAATCGCGTACACGAAGGAATAGTAGGTGGTCTTTCATATTATTCCTTAAGAATGCCTCCTGATAGCCCTGGAAAGTCGGATTATGATGACATGTGTTAATCTAGTTCTTAGACAAGTAAGCGTCTATGTATATAAGTACAGGTGGGTTCCTATTCTATCACTGCCGATAATTCTGTCAAGATGTCTCAAGAATTCCTTCGCAGTATGGCTGGGTTGTTCATCATCTCAATAACTCCAGCACCCGTAAAATTGGCGTCTCCAATCCGTCCTCCAGTTGTGAGCCCGATCCATCGTGAGTACACTCTCTCACCAGGAGTTGTCGAAGTGAGTTTCTCCATATAAAATGCGTATTTAACATCAAGCTGATTGTCGATCTCAATCTTCCAGCTTTCCACGGCTGATCCGGGTTCCAGTGGGACTGCAGTCCCAGGTCCCTGAGGACTAACTCTGACAGCCGAACAGGCAGAAATGACTGGCTTCCCATCTTCAGCGAGATAAACGCTAGATGTTACATTCAACGAATCATCGAGATGGTAGAAGAATACCAGTGAGTACCTGCCGACGTTCGAATGGCCCCAGTACCATTGGTGCAAGCTATTCTGGAAACCTGCTGTTCCCCAGTTCTGTATAGTCATCTGGTCAGAGCAGCCATCCCAACAAGAGACTTAGAGAAATATCTGATCATGATATCCAGAGCCAGAGAAAGAGACATCAGTTCCGTTGATGGTTAAGTTGACGGTGGCGTGCGAATCTGGGATGGTGTTGGCCCAGGAGAGATACGGGGCGAAGTTGAAGGAACCTCCAGGAGTGTTGAGCCCACATGCGACGTGGGCGGGAGCTCGGGAGCGCATGGTAATCTTTCCCGAAATACCAACTTGTGGCAGGTCTAGCGTGAGATGATAAACTCCCAAGTCAGAAGATCCAAACCAAGTCATCGCTCCATCATCAACAACGCCTTGCGACCCATCACCGACAGTGCTCAACTGAAGGTCTCCAACAGGAATAGGAGTGAAAGGAAATAAGGTTCCGTTAGGCCAAAGAATCTGGAGTAGGACTGCGTTCGACTCGGGAAACCACCCCGGATAGAACTGCGCGACGAGGAGGGCATCTGCGTTATGAGACACGGCGTCAAAATACCACCACTGGTAAGCCGACCCATTGTTGACCGCGATATGAGGACCATCAAATGCTGAAAGGCCAATAATGCTGTCCGCTGCTGTAGTGCCATTGAACTGCCCCGTAGGTATGACATATGTTTGGGGCTGTATGGAGGCAATGGCCAGTCCGCTCAGCATCGAAAGACACAGCGCAGTGGTTTTCATATTGGTAGGAAACTGGAATATAGATAAGAAAAGAATCAAGTTGAAACTTGAAAGACGCTGGCGAAACACGTTGATCGTGTTTTTGCCGAATGTGTTTAGCCTGGATTGAACAAACTCAACTGACGTAGATTTCACCGACTGCAAGCAAGTACTGGAATGTCTATGGGCCTTTATATGCTTGATGTAGCCGAAGTTCGGGTTCTGGAATCGGGTAAAATCCACATGCGGACGAGCACGAACATCCGCAACGCCGCTCGTTGACATGACATTACGAACGACGTCGTCTACGTCCTCTCAGCTCATTGGAGACACCCATGGTCGTATTGTGGAGCTCGGGAAATCGATGTGGCTGAGCCCAAATCATGCTAGCTTATAGTATGGATAAACCGGAATGTCAGAGTTGTTCTTATTCGACGTGGCTAGGGTGGGTTAGATTGCTTCGTACACCAATGCCTCTCTTGCCTAGTTGATGCATCAATCGGCCGAACTTCTTATTGAAGACATATCATCTGCTATATGCAATTCATGTGATGTACGAACTGACTACTTGGGAGAGAGGACTAGTGTCCAATATGTGCGGCAACTGGCTATAATCCATAAATCCACACGCTCACGGTCGATTAAAACCCAATGTTTGCGGAAAACGCAATGTATTTCTTGATACTCAAGGCCATTGAATTTCACTGTCAGTCAATAAAGACGGCACGAAATCGCGCTGGCTTTGTTTTCCATCTCCTATTTCTGACGTTTAGGCATGCTATGCCTCAACATTATGCATTTTTTGGTTTCCCGTATTACAAGGCGGCTTCGCGCTGGTGCTTTGCGAAATGCTACCTCCACCAAGTTTAAACAACAGACTGCTTCACTTCATGTTCACTGTCACCTAGCTGTGCGCACTTCCATTGCCAACAGCCGGAGTCCGAAGATGATGAAATCTTGTCATAATAAGAGTGCGACTTCTCAGAAAGCAGTTAGTTGATTATTCGGCTAGCCAAAAAGCAATAAATTTCGTCCAAAGCTCGGGTAATATTCCACACGCATGACGATTCGGATTGGGCTCCCCGAAGATAGCTTGCTTCGCCGCAACGCAGCCTCTGTACAAGGATACTCAACTAAGCAACAATGACTAACCTGAACCAGATTTCCTTTTCGAGAAGGTCGGGACGTTTGCATGCTGGTACAACGATTCCACATAGAGTAAACTACACAGAATAGGGAACAAAACAAAAAGTACAACGATTCCACCAAATTTGTCACTGCGAACGCGAATAATTCCTATTTCGTCCGGAGAACGCCCGCATTCACGGCTATCTCTTGACTCTTAGAGACCGTCTATTTTACTGTGCTAGAGTGACTATCTTTCCCGTGGTTGCGTACTCTATTTTACTGTCGTCGTTATCATCTTCGCTACCATCGTCGTCATCTTCGATAAGAGTAATTAAGTACACAGGAAAACTAGGTGGTCTCGACCCTTATCTGTAGACCTGGCCAGAACCACTGTCAGCACACTGCTGTGCCGCAAGGCAACATGGCACGCGTCACGGAACCTGAAGTTCGGGAGTAAGGTCTCAAAAGTTCCTGATAAGGACTGCGTGACCTGCACTGGTCCTTTTCTGATTTGACAACTGTTCTAAAACAACACAGACTTGAACCTAGTAGCGATGTCCTGTCCGTCGCTGAGCGACCAGTCTTTCGGACCCCGCGTCCATCCAGAATGTCGTTCCTTCGACTTCACACTGCAGTTTGAGGACATCCTTTTTGCCTGCATTCCGTCCGCTGTGTTTATCCTCCTCGCACCAACGCGAATCGTCCATTTGCTTCGCCAACCGACCGCCTTCGCAGTTCGTTCTTGGCTTCTGCTTGCCAAGCTAGTATGTGTCTTCAATGTCTCGCGCTTGCGCGCCTGTCCATCACTACTGTCGTTTGCCTATTGATTTTCAAAGGTGATTCTAGCTGCACTTCTGGCTTCGCACCTCGCCTTTCTAGCCCTGCGATCGCAAACCCCCAATTTCCAGACATCTGCATCGGTTGCCGCTGATGTTTTGATTCTCATCGCCATCCTCACCATCGGTCCAATTTCTCTTCTGACTCATCAACGCTCGCCTCGACCGTCGACTTTGCTCAGCATATATCTTTCCGCGTCAACCATACTTGGCATTGCGCGTGTTCGAACGGCATGGCTACTGGGTCAACAAGTCCCTGTGCCTGCTCTCGCGACCGCTGTTCTGGTGTTGATGATTGCACTTCTCATTGTGGAGTCGATCGCGTCGAAGAAGAGACAGTCAGAGCCCGAGTTATCGCACAGCAAACTCCCGAATCCTGAACAGACCAGCGGCTTCTGGGCGAGGACTTGCTTTTGGTGGCTTGCACATACCTTCTCACTGGGATACTCCAGAGTGCTCTCTCTCGTGGATTTGCCTAACCTTGATATCGTTCTGGAAAGCCGCCATTTGCACCGCGATCTGTCTATCGCTTGGAACAGCAGTAAGTGCTATTGAAGCTTGGCTGTCATATGACCTGAAAGCTTCCAGAAACTTGCTAAGCCACGAGCCCAGATGACCAGCAGAGGAAGAACAGTCTATTGAAAGCGTGTATCAAGAGTTATTTCTTGTCCTTTCTTTCTCCAGTCATACCCCGACTATGTCTCTCAGTGTTCACGTTCGCCCACCCATTTCTCATCAACACCACCGTGAGCTTCGTCGGCCAAGAGAAACCTGATAACAACTTCGGGAAAGGGCTCATTGGCGCATGGGCCCTGGTTTATCTAGGCATTGCTGTTAGCAACTCCATATTCCAGTATCAGAATCTGCGGTTCACAACGAGACTACGCGGAGGACTGGTTGCCCTCATCTACCAGCAGGCAATTAACACGCGAGAAGCGGACACAGGCGACATAACTGCGGTTGCCCTAATGGGTACTGACGTAGAGCGGATTCACATGTCAATGTCTGTGTTTCACTTGCTCTGGAGCTCATTGCTTGATATCATCATTGCAAGCTGGCTTCTGGGGCTCCAGCTCTCACTTGCGTGCCTTGCTCCAATCATATTGGTTCTTGGTGAGTAAACAAGAACTTTCGGTTTTCAACCCAGCAGTGCTGACCAATCGGGCTCAGCCTTCATTGCCGCGATGTCCAAGGTATCGGTGGCCACAAACACAGCTCAAAAGCACTGGATTGAAAAGATACAAGAGCGCCTTCGAGTGACCACGACAATGCTCAGTGAGATGAAAGCTGTGAAGATGCTAGGACTCACTCAAGTCATGTCGAACACGGTCCAGAATCACCGCACCAACGAGATCGAGACCTCGAAGTCTTTCAGGAAGTTGTTAGTAGCGACGTTATTGCTTTGTAAGACTCACACTCCCTTTTTCAGTAGCTGTCGCTAACCCGAAAGCTTAGCCCTGAGCCCAATCAATCTCGCCCCTATCGTGACCTTCGGTATCTACGTCATCATCTCCGTCTACTGGAAGAACGATACCCTGCTGCCAGCGCAGACATTCACGTCAATTGCTTTAATATCTTTGCTAACTACACCGGTCGTCGCCTTCATTCAGATTCTGCCCATGGTCGTTCAATCTTTATCCTGCTTCGATCGCATCCAAGATTTCTGTAACTACAGCTCTCCAAGAAAGACCAAAGATCAGCCTGTCAACTCATTTTCCTCAAGTTCCCAGACAGCTTTGCCAGCGAGGAAAGGACCTAAAGAGCTATCACAGTCCAGCCATCCCTCTCAAGAACCTATTTTGTCTTTCAGCGGTGAGAGCTTTGGTTGGAAGGAAGACCAGAGTTTACTTCATGAAATCAACGTTCAAATCCAGCCCAATACTGTCACGTCCATTGTGGGGCCTGTTGGAAGCGGAAAGTCAAATCTCCTCAGCGCCATGCTGGGCAACATGATCAGAACATCGCCGATGATGACGAACAGATGTGGAAATGAAAGAGGTTGCAGTAAAGAGATCGCATACTGCTCGCAAACTCCATGGCTAGAGAACGGAACAATTCGACAGAACATTCTCGGTGTCTCGGCCTACGAAGAGAAATGGTATGACACTGTCGCGCTTGCATGCGGGCTTGAACCCGATTTTCAAGCCTTGAAGATGGGCGACTTCACTCTTGTTGGCAGTCAAGGCAGCAACCTCAGCGGCGGCCAAAAGCAGCGCATTGTGAGTATTATTGACAGACAAGGACCTGATCCTCTGGCCTGCCACTAGCCATGCGCTAACATCTGGCATCTAGGCTTTGGCGAGGGCAGTCTATGCTCGAAAGCGCATCGTTATTCTGGACGACATCTTCAGTGGGATGGATGCTCGCACTGCGCACCATGTCTCAACCTATTCAATCGGACGTGACGGACTTCTACGGAGACAGCGCGCGTCCGTCATTTTTGCAACTCACAGTCGTAGGTCGCTTTGTCCGTGCAGTGCAGCTGACTCTAACAGGCATCTAGACAGGATCATGGGCCTAGCCGATAGCATAATCTCGCTGGACGGTGGCAGAGTGCAAGAAATAGGCAGCCCCATGGACCTGGTGCAAGGTCAAGGCTACGTCAGCAAGCTCGGGCTCATGTTATCCCCTAATGAAGATGTTGCCAATGATTCCTCATCCTCTGTTGAGCCTGAGGTTTCTGAGAAACACCAGGGAGAAACATCTGAAATGGAGAATCCTAGAGAACAGAAGCACACGGATGTCAGACGGAAGAACGGAGAGAAGGCAGTTTACCTTTACTACTTGAAAAGCGCAGGCTGGAAGGCTATTGTCATGTACACAGCAGCTGTCACGTCATGGGCTTTCTTTTCGGAATTCTCCAGTAAGTCTTCTTGAAGCAACACAGCTAGGCACAAGGCACACAGAAGCTGACTCATGGTACTTAGCTGTTTGGATCAAATGGTGGTCTGAGTCAAATTCTTCTAATGCAAACCAGGACGTCGGATATGTCATGGGTATCTATGCCTTGTTCGGGGTTTTGGGAACACTCAATTCCTCAATCGCCGCCTGGTTCGCATTCATCGACATCATATCTAACACGGCACTGAAATTGCATTCAGACCTTCTTCAGACTACTGTTTCGTAAGTCGGCCTTTCCGCGATTCCTATGACTATCTATGTATGCGGCTACTGATTCCGCGGCTACAGCGCAACATTTGCTTTCTTCTCCAAGACAGACAATGGGGAGATATTGAACAGGTGAGGATTCAGTCGGTAGATCGGCCTTGGCAGTACCTGACCTGTTCGTAGATTTAGTGAGGATATGCAGTTGCTGGACATGGACTTGCCGTCAAACTTGTTGAACTATACATCAAGTGAGTATCAGAGATGCCTTCCACAGGAGCTATCAACTAACCATAGTTTCTCGTAGCCGGCGTTACAATACTCGCTAAGGTAATCATTCTGGTCGTATTCTCCCAGTATCTTGGAGCTACCCTACCATTCCTCTGCGCCATACTCTACTTGCTGCAACGCTTCTATCTCCAGACATCGCGACAAGTTCGTCTCCTCGGTATTGAGGCGAAAGCACCTCTTTATACCCACTTTTCCGAGTCAGTGGCTGGGGTTGCTACGATTCGGGCCTTTGGGTGGCAAGAACAATACCAAGAGCGCAATTACGAGCATGTTGACGAATCGCAGAGACCCAGCTACACCCAGGGCTGTATCCAGGCATGGCTCACTTTTGTTCTCAACCTAATCGTAGCCGTATTAGCAGTAGTACTGGTTATTATTGTAGTAACGTGGCATCACAAGTTTAGCGCTGGAAACGTCGGCGTTAGCCTCGTTATGATCATTGGCTTCAGCGAAGTGTTAGCTCGTCTCATTCAAAGCTGGACAAAGCTGGAGTCCAGCATCGGTGCGGTCGCTAGAGTGAGACGATTTGTCTCCGATACTGAAACTGAGTCGGCGGCTGAAAGAGGGACACCGCCAGTGAACTGGCCGCAAGCCGGAGCTGTGAAGTTTTCGGATGTTGTGGCGTCTTATGGGTAAGAACTACACATGACCTCCTAACTTGATTTGATGGAATGGTACGGCTAACTGTTTGGTAGGTCTGATGCTTCACCTGTTCTCAAGAAACTCTCCCTAGCTGTCGAAGGGGGCCAGCATGTAGCAATTTGCGGCCGATCCGGAAGTGGCAAAACCTCCTTGATCATGACTTTGCTGCAAATGACAAACATGAAAGATGGGAGGATCGACATTGACGGGGTTGATGTCTCGACCCTGCTGCAGTCCGAACTCCGCGCATGCATCAACGTCATTCCTCAGGATCCATTCTTGATGCCTGGGACTGTTCGCTTCAACCTCAACCCTTACGGAAATAGTCTAGATGACGATAGGCTCGTTGAAGCACTTGGAAGAGTTGGCGTTTGGTCACTCGTGCAAGACCAGGGTGGTTTGGACGCAGAAATGAACGTCAACGCGTGGTCAGCTGGCCAGAAACAACTCCTCTGCTTGGCTAGAGCCATGCTACGACAATCAAAGATTTTGATATTGGATGAGGCAATGAGCAGGTAAGTGCACTGACGAGCAAAATGGTATCATACAGTGACTGACATTTCCTCAAGTGTGGACAGTGAGACAGAGGCAATAATGCAGGATATCGTTGATTCTGACTTCAGGGACTGCACGGTTCTTGCCGTAATGCACAGGCTCAAGCACGTTACCCACTATGACAAAGTTGCCCTGTTGGGAGATGGAAAACTTCTCGAGTATGATACTCCGGAATCTCTCATCTCTGGAGAGACTCAGTTTGCTGAAATGTTCAAGATGAAAGCAAACTAACATAGTCTCGGTGGACTTTAGCTGGTTCCTTATGGCACGTCTCCCATTTGTTGCACTGAATTGAACCATCTACTCCGCGGAATCTCAATTTGTTGTGAGCTAACCCTGCCCAGAATAAGCAAAAGGACTGGGTTCCTCCTACATCGGCCAGTGATCCGGTTCAAACCTTTGCCTCCCGTGTTTCGTAGTGCTCCTGCTCAACCACTGGTACATCTTCTGCTAGGCGGCGACTTTTTGCCTCCCTCCTGCTTAGATAAAGTATGAGGAGAATAATGAATAGCTGCGCAACCGTCGTGGCTAGACTACTGCGGAACCCAAGTATCCATCGCGGGGCACCTGTCGCTGGGAAAAGCGCGACTTGTGCTCCAGCCATGATACCCTGCCCTATTGCGTTCATACTTGCCGTTACTACCGCACGCTCCTCTGCATCGTTTGACATGATTGTGGTAGCCCAGCCCATTCCCATGGGAGACAGCGCTGTATGCGAAGGTTAGAGTCTCACGGCGTGACAATACGGTTAGAAGAACTTACGAGCAATGAACCCTTGCAGCATAAAAGCGGCTAGCCTGCCACTTTCACCCACGTGCCATACATTAAGTAGTATCATCCCAACAAACACGGGGATTGTTGTTACGAAGGCGGGAATCCAAAATTCACCGAGTCGGTCTGCCGCTACTCCGGCAATGAGGGCAGCAACTATCATAATTGCAGACGTGATCGTAGGCAGGGTGTTAACCTGAACAATGGAGTACAGCTCTGGGCTATTCGCACGGAGGTAGAGGGAAAACGGCTGTCCTCCAGGAACGAAGTTCATGTCGAACAGGATCCACAATGTGACAAACGCATAGAAATGCCACCGGCCAAGCACTCGCTTGAAAATGCTTGCTGATATCTGGAGCTGAGGCGGGGTACTTGAGCCTTCTACTCTCTTCTGCGCAATTTTGAAGTCGGCGTCCGTAAGAGTGAATGGCTTCTTGCGAGATGGTACATCGGGGAAGATGGCGAAACCACTGTGAGAGATCAGTACGTGAGATAGCAGCCAATGTCAGATGCTGCTCTTACAAGAATGCGATTCCGAGGGTAATAATGCCGTCGATAATGAAAAGCCACCTATTTTCGTCGTCAGCACGAGTATCCCCTCTGCAGCAGAAACACTCTGGTTGCATACCTCCACCCTGACATCCCATGAACTCCGCTGAGGTTTGTATACGCGGCTGCCTGCAGATAGCCAGCAAACATCGTTCCCAAAGGCGACGAAATGAAGAATAGGGCGATTCTTCTTGCCACTTCAGTTTTCTTGTACCACGAACCAATCACGTAGATTGTACCAGTGAAGGAGCAGCACTCGAAAAGTCCGACGAAGAACCGTAGAGCATATATAGCCTCGACGTTATTGACAAATGCTAAACCCAGAGTCGCAAGTCCCCAACCAAGCTCGAGAGAAGGCAGTACGAGATTTGCGGGGTATTTTGTGAGGAAATAACAAGCCGGAATCATAGCGCCGCAGTAAGATGCCCAGAAGGTCGCGGTGATGTAGTTCAGCTCGTTGCCCCACATTCCGATTTCCTCCCTCATCCCGCTGGTGATCAAAAGTCAGAGAGTTTTCATGCTGATGAAGCATCAAAATGAGCTTACCTCACGTAGGCATTAGTGAGAGATTGCTGATCCAGATATTTCGTGAAGAACGATAGACAGCCAAATATGAGGATCGATAAGTCCAACTTCAACACCACTAGCTTTTCCTCGCTTGGCATGTCCGATGGGTACCATCCGATCAAACTCATGAAGCGAATCCATAAGTTTTCCTTCGGTCTGAAAATCTCGGGGTTACTGCCTGCAGAGCGTTCGCCGGTAGATTCTGAGCCATTTGCCGGACGCTGTTCGTCGTAAACCGCCATGATGACTTGGCTGCTTCTTGGTGAGGATCGACACTAACAGACGGCGGGATGAGTTCATCTCGAGGTATCCAGTTCAAGAATCCAGGATTTTCTTATGTGTCGCCGTATAACCCCATGTTGCAGAGCCCTGTGATCACGCAAACACGTCGCAGTATGACAGTAGCCGGAACCGCACCGGCATACGGACTATGCTACTCCACAGGCATTCCTATGGTGTGCAGCGAGTTTTCAAGTCAACCAATACCATGACCCGATAACGATCGGTGTCGGGCACTTTCCGACGACTCTCATTCAAAGATCGAATGCATCAATCCACTTCACTGTCACTTGCAACCAAATATGACGCCCGTATACAAGCAAGACCTCCGAAGTCGCGTGGCAACAGGGATTAGACGCGACTAGGGGTATGATGCGAGATTCCCTATCATGACGTTAGGCTAGGCATATCCAGCTCGCAAAATCCCACCGATTATATGGATGATTGCAGAAATGAAATTTTGAGTGAAAGATGGGAAATCTATTTCACATGCAAATCTTTGCGTATGGAAACATTCAGTATAACTATGTTGCATTTGATCATGATTTTGACCCAGTGCCGAAGCTCTCAGAAAATGTTCTCGCCCGTCAGATTTGGTGCCATGTCGCGATGACAATGTGTAATCACGTCATTTCGGGAGGAATACCTCAGTCAGCTATCGGTCTCCCTGCTGTCGGATCACAATCTGTCTTAGTAGAAGTTGCCTGTCTTGCCCCAAAGCAATAGTTGACTTGCTTCAGGACATCAACCTGTTCTTGGAAAGCCATCTTTGTCAGCTCGGTGATGTGGGGAAGAACTCTTTGTAAAACCGCCTATTTTCCTGTGTCTGCGTAGCTTCCTTATATTTCCTATGTACTTAGTTTTTCTGTCCGAGATAATAGTAGATATAATAACGATTATAATGACTATGACGATGACGATGACGATAACGACGATATAAGCGACGATTGTAAAGTAGTCGGCGTAGTATAGGGAAAATAAGCGATCTCATCTTTAAATATTACACGTTTAAATCTTTTATAAAGCTCAACATACTCCATATGGCTAGAACATACGACCCGGGTAGCAAAACTTGAAGCCTGAGCCCCGCAACGACGTTGGCCACAAAGACCATTTTTGAATTTCTAGGGGATCCCACGAATCTTGATTCAAGACTATTCAAGAAGGTCCAAGGTTTTGCCTTGCTTCGCAGACTCCACGGCCGTGTCGATGATGCGCTGGGCGGTGAAACAGAGCACGGGATCTAGCGGCCCGGTGACCGGCTTGCCGTTTTCCTTGCAGTGGAGAAAATACTCGATCGGATTGCGATATGGACTTTGCAAGACGTCAGCGGGGATGTTGGTGATCTGGGGCCGGTCCTTGGTCTGGACGCCCACGTGCGGATCATAGTCGTAGCTCGAAATCGTGCCCTCGGTACCAACCACCACGAACCCGCATCGGGGCTGCGGCTGCATGGTCCAAGGGTCTGTGAAGGTGCCCCAGCGGGTCTCAAACTTCGACAACCCCGTGGTGTACTGGCAGATGGTGATCGAGTGCTCGTCGACCTCGATGCCCTCGCTGGCGGACGTCACGGTGGTCACCTTCAGGGGCGCGCGTCCGTCCATAAACCACGTTCCAAGGGTCGCGCCGTACCCGAGATAGTCCAGTAGCGATCCACCTCCGGACTCCTTCTTGTACCACCAAGACTCCGACTTCTTCCGCTGCACCTCATCATCAGAGACCTCAACCTTGTCGGCGAGGTGGTAAAGTGGACCGCGGTTCCCGCCATAGTAGTGTACTTGGGTGACCTGTCCAATTGTCCCCTGGTCAATCAGCCGTTTCGTCGTGACGTGGGCCGGGAACCATCTTGAAGGCCAGTTAATCGCAAGGCACGTTCCGGCGGCGTCCCTAGTCTCCAGCATACGCCTCGCGTCTCGAAGGTTAGCCGCGAACGGCTTCTCCATTAAGACATCCACTCCGAAGCTGCAGCACTCCTCGTAGGCAACGGCGTGATCCGCGGTCGCTGGGCAGAGGACGACGAGGTCGGGCTTGGTCTGGCGAACGCACTCCTCCACGTCAGTGAAGATGAGCTCCGGCGCAATATCAAAAGCCGCGACCGCGTCCTTCGTCCGATCCGCCTGGCGATCGCAAACGCCCACGATGTCGACATCGGGATGGTCAAATGCATTGCGCAAAAGATCGCCCATGTGCATGTGGTCGAAGTTAATGCCAACTACTCTCCAGCGCGTCATCGTGAAAGCTCAAGATCTGGCCTTTCTCGGGCATTCTATGCAGTAAGCAGAAACTAGAGCGAGCAAGACAGAGCTGCTGAACAGAATATGTTATCTTTTGGCTGACGTGTACAGTGCGTAAATCAGCTTCTTGGAATTAGCACAGTGGCCTGATTTATATCTTGATAGCTCAGAAGTAATGGCAATCATACGCACAAAGATGACGACGCCGCATCTAGCGAATCTCCTGGTCATCTTGTCAATTTTGATCAAAGGGACGACTCCCTGAAACCTTTGGGTAGTATTTACAGCATACGATGGCTGTCTTGTCAAATAAAAACCAAACAAACGATCTACATGTGATAATTGTATGGCTACAAAAAAAGTTGTCGTATGCACCTGACACAATTTGTCTTTGGGCGTCTCGGGAAGATAAGTTGAGCCAGCTGTTTAGCATTTGACAGCCCAAATCCGGCATCCTGGCCAAGAGCGGGCAACGCTATTAACCCTACGAGTGAACTTCTACGGGCCTGATTTCAGGTTTTCTCATGCAAGTTGTCCTTAATATGAATTGGTTAAATTTAGCCTGGCTCCGACGGAATGTGCCTCTTTCGGCCAGCCATCAGGTCGACAGAAGCCAACCGAGATTGAGGTCGAGATTAATCTGATAGGGCCAACAGCGAGGTCACAGACCTATCTCAATAGCAGACAGAGCTCGATTTAGTCTGGGACTTGAGCAACGTCTATGGCAAACCATCATCGCACCACCTGTCACGGTGGTAGAACTTTGTATAGCTTCAGCAGCGTATTAGAGTCTCAGTGTTTACAACCTTTGTATATTATTGCCGAAGTTTACCCCATCTCAAAGCTTTCTTGGCATTCATCATAACGGGACTTCATATTCCCGTGTAGACCCCAATGTTGGCGGAGAGTCCGCTGGCAAGGGGTTTACCCGAATGGAGTCAGCAGCATTGGCATTCGCCGTGTTGGGCCAGTCACGGCGCCCGGGTACACTTCGGCCGGCGTATTTGTGGAGCCCCGTGGGCTCCGGCAGTGCTCCGACAGGGTTCCGGAGGTTGCGAGTTTAGCCTAAATACCCGAAAGGCACTGTCTTGGAGCAAACTGCGGCGCCTTTTTGCTGACGCATGACCCCCGACTCCCGCAGTTCCGTCTCATTTTCCGACGCTACTCCGAATCAGGAGCGCGCCACGGTACCGTAGCCGTCAGATGAGATTCAGATTCTTGGATCCTGTGATCAGTTGAAAGAAACTCTCTGATTCAAGAGGTCGGTTAGGACGCTGGACTTGTACTTCAACTTCTTTGGATCTGTTTGAAGTCATCAGAGTACCTCTTATCACCAGTCCAAATTTAACCCCGCGTTGCCCGTTGCCTATGCACCCCGGATTCGCCATGGCCACCGACAACATTCCACTTGACGTGGAAGGCTTGATAAGCCAACTCACACTGGAGGAGAAGATCGACTTGCTTGCTGGCCAAGGATCATTCAGAACAACGGGTCTCCCTCACCGAGGAATTCCAGCCTTGATAGTGAGTTGCGGCACCCTCCGGAGCGGGGAATCAACTATCTTACCCTATTCAGACATCCGACGGGCCTCATGGAATTCGAGGTCGTCGAGCGTTCCATCGGGTAAGTACTCCGAAGCAAAGTGATTGCAAGTGAAGCGTGCAAATCGTGGGCCTCGCAATACTCGAGCTGGGCTAAGTGACTTTAGAACCCGAGTCCCATGTTGCCCTCCGCAACTGGTATGGGAGCGACATTCAACAAAGAGCTGCTTCACAAAGTCGGAAACCTCTTGGGTGAAGAAGCCAGGGCTCGAGGTGTCCATGTTCTTTTGGCACCCACAATATGTCTCCAGAGATCTCCACTGTTTGGCCGCGGCTTCGAAGCCTTCGCGGAAGACCCTTATCTGAGCGGCATTCTGGGAGCAGCGTATATCAACGGCGTGCAGGAGCGCGGAGTCGCGACGAGCGTGAAGCACTACGCTGCCCACGATCAATCCGACAACTCCATTGAGGATAACGTCTGCATGACGCAGCGTACACTACGAGAGGTCCACATGATGCCTTTCCAGCTGGTCATGCGGGACTCGGACCCCTGGACGTTTATGACCTCCTATAATAAGATCAACGGCATCCATGTCAGCGAAGACCCCTTGCTCATGAAGCAGATTTTGAGGGATGAATGGGGCTTCAAGGGCCTGGTGATGAGCGACTGGTTTGGCACGTACAGCACCTCGGAAGCCATCAATGCGGGCCTTGATCTTGAGATGCCTGGGCCCACGCAGTGGAGAGGAAAGTGCCTCAGTTTGGCTGTAAATAGCCGCAAGGTCATGCGTACGACGGTCGACGAGTGTGTAAGAAACGTATTGAATCTCACCAACAAGGTCATGGATACGAAACCGGAAGGCTACTTCTCTGCTTCGAATACGCCGGAGCAGCAGGCCTTGATTCGGAAGCTGGTTTCTGAAAGCATTGTGCTTTTGAAGAACGATCGCGGGGTGCTACCTATCAAGGCTTCAGAGAAGAAAAGGATTGCACTCATCGGAGATCACGTCAAGAACCCCGCCTTGAGTGGAGGCGGGAGTGCTGAGGTCGAGCCTTATTATTCAGTCACGCCGTACAACGCCATCATAGAGGAGTTAGGCAAAGAGAATGTTGCATACGCTCTTGGATGTCATTGTAAGTCATGACTTGACGATGTCACATAGCGAGTCAATGCTGATCCTGTTTAG